TCTATATGGACTATATAGAAACAGTAGGTTTTATATTTCTATGTTGATCATATAGAAATAATCTATTTCATTTTTCTATTTCGATTATATTGAAATAGTCTTTTTTAAATGTCTATATTGCCTATATAGAAATGGCAAATTTGTGTACTTTTATATGGATTATATAGAAACAGTAGTTTTTAAACTTATATATTCACTGTATAGAAATAAACGTTTTCATTTTCCTATATAGACTATATTGAAATAATCTTTTTTAAACTTTTATAATGATTATATACAAAATCCTAATTTGTATATTTCTATATGGAGTATATAGAAATAGTACTTTTTATATTTCTATATTGATTATGTGGAAATAAACTTTTTCATTTTTCGATATGGACTATATAGATTTAGTAGTTTTTATATTTCTATGTTCATCATATTGAAATGCTGTTTTTCCTTCTTTATATGAACCATATTGAAATAGTCATTTATCACTGGTGAGTGATCTGCTGATGTTTTACTGATGGATTTGTCTAGAAATGAAAGATTTTGTGTTAGATGAGAAGTTAACATGAAGTATATTGAACACACTAGGATGTGAGGATGGTATTCATGTACGTTTGTAAATAAATTTGCAGGCATCTTATTATTATACGAAACTTACACTATTATGAAAAGTTTTATTGGTCGATCATACATGGATCTTGCTGTCAGTCTCGATATAACATTTCAGTGACCACGATTTTTTGTCAGGTTTTTTATATGATCTGATATGATGATATATGATATTGGAGTAAGACCGAATATGATCAAATGCGAATCAGTAATAGATCTTATCATCTGATTTCTCGACCTGGGACATTTTAAAATTCTTATAACCAATTTCTACATACTAGGTGTGATCCTAGAACATTTCTTATGCGATTCTAGGAATAATCCTAGCATATATATTGCCACACTCTAGGAATTATCCTAATATATATATTGCCACACTCTAGGAATAATCCTAGTATATATGTTGCCACACTTTAGAAGTATCCTAGTGTATATGTTGCCACGCTCTAGGAATAATCCTAGTATGTATGTTGCTACACTCTAGAAATTATCCTAGTATGTATGTTGCCACACTCTAGAAATTATCCTAGTATGTATGTTGCCACACTCTAGAAATTATCCTAGTATATATGTCGCAGTTGGTTAGAGAATTTAGTTGAGATTGGAATTCATATAAATATAGAAATAATATCTATATCTATATTTTTAATTAATAGGAGAGAAAACAGAATTGGTAAATTTAGGAGATTATTTCACATATAATAGATAAATTATTCTTTTTTACGAGAGACAAAGTAAAAATATGAATGCTTTAAAATATATTATTAACTTAAATGAATAGTTTATACAGAATATAAGGGAAAAATAATATGGCGGTTGTTTATATTAATTTGATTATTTATTTATTTTATTGATGAGCGGGACATGCGGGACATTGAAACTTGTATTAGATAAAAATATACAATTTATTTTTTTTTCTTATAAGATAGATAGATTTTTCCGACCAGCGGGACATGCGAGACATTGAAATTTGTATTAGATAAAAATATACAATTTATTTTTTTCTTATAAGATAGATAGAATTTTTTTTGATCATCGGGACATGCGGGACATTGAAATTTGTATTGGATAAAAATAGACAATTTTTTTTTCTTATAAGATAGATAGACTTTTTCGACCAGCGGAACATGCGGGACATTGAAATTTCTATTAGATAGAAATATACAATTTTTTTTTCTTATAAGATAGATAGATTTTATTTCGATCATCGGGACATGCGGGACATTGAAATTTGTATTAGATAAAAATATACAATTTTTTTTTCTTATAAGATAGATAGATTTTTTCGACCAGCGGGACATGCGGGACATTGAAATTTGTATTAGATGAAAATATACAATTTTTTTTCTTATAAGATAGATAGATTTTTTGATTAATGGGACATGCGGGACATTGAGATTTCTATTTAAAAAAAAGAATTTTTTTCTTTGGAAACATAAATTTTTCGATGAGCGAGTCATGCGGGGCATGAACTTTTTTTTTGTTTTAATTATATTATTCTAAAATGCGTGTTATTCGATATTTAGCGAGTTGATTAATTTGTTACAGAGTAGTCGATCAGTAGGATAATAATTAAATTCAGAAGAATCGAATTTCAGATGTAAAAGATAATTTAATATTTAGTTAGGCTTTTCTCATTGTTTAATATTTGGTAGATTGTAAAAAATAATTTTTTTTAAATACTGATCGGATTTGATTTTTTTATTTCAAAAAATAATTTTATTAAATAATTTTATTTGATGTTAGTTTAAAATATAGGAACTGGATAAAGTATTTTTGTAATGCAGAATGAATCAATTGAATTGTTTAAAAGTTCCGAGCAGTTGACTTGGCATGTGAAGGGCGATATTTTTCTAAAGCTTTATTAAATATTGGATGATACTAATCATTTTTTTTTGTATAGAATAAATAGTCATATATAATGATACATCAAGTCAAAATAGTCAATTTTTGTTTAAGATGATGGTGAATGGTGTGGGCGTAAATGATATAAAAGTAAGTTTTCAGATCGATTCATTTAAAGTGAGATAAAAAGTTTATGGAATATGTGTTGGAATTGATGAATAATTTTATGGTGCGCTAAAGAAGGAAGATGTGAGGTATTAGATCAACAAGATTAGTTCAAGTGTGAAATAAGTCAACCGAACTAATTAAATGAAAAAGAAATTTAAAAATGGTTCCAAAGTAAATTAATAGAATGACCGACGGTTGTATGACAATCCTTAATCTTCTCGCACGTGTTCTCTTGTGTTATCAATGGAAAATTAGATTTTTTATTATATATCACTTCGTTTAATCCGATTTCCATTAAACAGAATGTATGGTGAACCCAGAATTTAAATTTTGGAGACACAGCTATATCTTCACGTTTTAAAACTTTAATCATTTTGGAACACATGTCATTGTTAATCGTATATTTTTCTCTTTTTTTTCATCAACATTGTTGATGTATGACTTTAATTTCGAAATAAATATTTTCATAAAGTTACATTTGATAAGCTAAAAATGAAACAATAAATGAAATAACTTAATTAGAAAAGTTGTCATAGCCATAGGACTGAATCTTCGTTTCGTAGAAACGAACCTCTAATAAGAAAATATAAAATAGACTATCTTGAGGTTGTCACACAGATTTCATAGATAAAAATATTTTCAAATGTAAAATTTTATGAATTGTTCATTTATTAATACTAATCAAAACAATTTTTATAAATACCAACTATATATAGCCCTACGAATACAACGAAAATGAAATATTCTTTTGTAAAATGAAAAAAGAATGAGTATTATAAATCTTTTATAAAAATCCATTCATAATATTGTAATAATATTCAATTTGAATCAAATAGATTTATTGATGAAAAAAAAGAAAGATTTTATTTTTTATGCTCTCTCTCTTTTTTCTATCTTCAAATCTATGTTTATATTTAATTTTGTTTTCTCTTTTTTTTCTATATTTTTTTTCGCGCATTCCAAACTCAACTGAAATTCTCATGTCAACTGTGACACATGTCTTGCAACAATCTAGGAATAATCCTAGTATCTATGTTGCCACAATCTAGGAATAATCCTAGTAAATATGTTGCGTGATTCTAGGAACGATCCCACTTAAAACAGTAGAAACTTCTCAAAGTCTTGACGAAGTAATTGCGAAATCTTTGAAAATCTTAATGAGATCTGTAGAAATCCTGAGAAATCTTATTCAAATCTCGAGAAATCTTGCTGAAATTCTAAGAAATCTTAATGAAATCTCCAGAAATCTTAATGAAACCTCGAGAAATCTTAACAAAATCCTGAGAAATCTAAATGAAATATGGAGAAATCGGAATAAAATCTCGAGAAATCTTCATGAGATCTTTAGCAATCTTGCTGAAATCCTGAGAAATCTTAATGAAATCTCCAGAAATCTTAATGAAACCTCGAGAAATCTTAATAAAATCTTGAGAAATCTGAATAAAATCTCGAGAAATCTTGATGAGATCTTTAGAAATCTTGCTGCAGTCTTGAGAAATCTTAATGAGATCTTGATGAATCTTAATGAAATCTTGAGAAATCTGAATGAAATCTCGGGAAATCTTGAGAAGATCTTTAGGAATCTTGCTGAAGTCTTGCGAAATCTTAATGAAATCTCGAGAAATCTTGCTGAAATCCTGAGAAATCTTAATGAGATCTTCAGAAATCTTATTGAAATCTCGAGAAATCTTAATAAAATCCTGAGAAATCTTAAGGTAATTCTGAGAAATCTTAATGAAATCTCGAGAAATCTTCCTGAAATCCTGAGGAATCTTAATAAAATCTTGAGAAATCTTGATGAAATCTTTAGAAATGTTGCTGAAATCCTGAGAAATCTTAATGAAGTCTCGAGAAATGTTGAGAAATCTTAATGAGATCTTCAGAAATCTTGATCAGAACTTTAGAAATCTTGAATAATACACTTGCGAAATCTTGATTAAATCCACGTGAATTAGAAAAACATTTAATCAAAATTCCGACGAAATCCGACTGTATCACGTTGGATCCGTGCGTGATCAGGTTGTTTTCTGCTAATGGATCCTGGCAGTTACGATAAGATCTGACGCCAGATGCGACAGGAACCGGTAGGATCTTTTCCGACGTGATCCGGGTCGGAATCCGTTAGTTAGGATTCCGGTGAAATTTGGTTGGGTTCCGATCGGTTTTTGTTAGGAATTCGGCTAGTTCCGGTGCAATCCGATGACGGTACCGATAGTTTCCGGTAGGATCTACAGGTCGGATTGAATCACCTGGGTATCAATTAGTTTATCAGATATTTTTGTATTGAAATTATTTTTATAAGAAATAAATGCATCTCTATAGAAAAATAAATCAAAAGCATCTGTTTTAGTGCTGTTGCATTGCCAATGAATTTCTTCTTTTTTCTTTCATCGTTCAAAGAAACGTTTCAAAACAAAAAAACCACCGACTGTACCAATCAAGACACCTATAATGATGAATCCAATCCAAAAACCAGTGATTAATGGACCCGAACTCTTATATACTATATCAATGTTTTGATTTTGTACAGTTGTTGTTGGTTGGCATTCATCACGATTTTGATTTCGAACAAGAGTTTTATTAACACATTGATTAGTGTTTTGATTAAAACTCGTATGGATGACTTGAAGAGAATTGATCCGTGCCCGTAAAGTAATTTGTGTGGTATTATATTTTGCCCGAAATGCCAGGCTATTTGCATCTATCACCGTACGAAGACGTTCGATAGCTGTAGTGAGTGATGGTTCTTGTAAGGGTAATTCTACTGGTCCTAGGCGAGGTGGTAAATCTAATAGTGTGAATGTCACAGGAAGATCCTTGCCATTATGATCGACAAGAATGTTAGAAATTCGAATGGGTCGCACTTGAAGAACAGTTGTCAACGTTTCTCCAATTGTGTATCGCAAATAATCTATATTCTTATGTACTGGATATTCTTTATCATTTGCTATAGTAAACGAGATGACACCGAGATTGAAATTTTCTATAGATAATAAAACATTTAGAAATATCAATTTTTGCTGTATCTAAAAACTATTTACCTTCGGGACCTATGGCTCGATAACACTCAGCCATCGTGTAATCAATCTCGAAGACTGTATTTGGATGGCGACGAAAGTTGAAAATGGCTTTAAATTAAAAACAAAAAATAAAATAGTAAATGATATAGACTAGTTTCTATTACCTATTTCAAATTCAATTGTAGGAACATCATTGACATATGTTTTCAAAACCATTTTCACAGGAAACGATGCTTCTAAATATACATCATTAATACTTGATGCCCAATACCATTCTCGATGTTGAACTGTATTATTTGGTAATGATTTTTCACCAATCCATACACGACATCGAACACGATCACGACATTGTTTTTCACCAGTATATTGATATGCAATATCATCCATTAAAAATAAATGTTCTGTAGAACTCATTTGTACTAGATTTGGTTTTCCATCCACTATCACAGCATCATTGAAACTTGTGTTTATATCACGAACAGAACATTGACGTGTTGTATGATTATATTGATAGCTGAGACCAGTTGCAAAATCATGTATTTCAGTGTAATGTAACCAATTTGGTCCACTGAATGGATCAGGATACCAGACATCAAAACGACTAAATTGAAATTCAGTATCATAGAGACCATGTGTACTAAGAATTGAGCTATTCATTTGTTTTATTAATGCTTCTGAATTTGAGCTAACTCTCTCAGGAATATCTTGTGGCACAGGTAATGTAGATATTCGATTTGCACAATATACACCTTCTGGAGTTTCTAATGCCTGACGTTCTTCTTGACGACTAGGATATGGTGTATAACGAAATACATTATATGTATATGTCTCTTGATGATCATTTTCAGCTCTAATTTGAACATCTATTTTTAGTATAATACTTTCATTTGCTGGTAAATTAGCTTGAAATTTTGTTACATCAGATGCATAATATGTTGCAGAGACAGTTGCTCCAATATCCGATACATAAAAACATGATTTGAATTTATTCGTAGGAATGCCACGTACAATTTCATCACCAATGTATTGATTACCCCAAGATGGATTTATTTGATTACGATGATCATAACCAAGTAAAACTGATGGTTTCAAAACAAATGTGTCTGCTTGAATAACACTAGTTTCTGATGTGATGTCAATAACTTGCCGAAAACATACTGATACTGGCTGTTGATTAACAATCTTAGTTAGAATTTCAAATTGTTCATTAGTGTCGAAATACCAGTAGAATTGTATTGGTCCTATGTGAAGAAAACGTGAAATAAAAGTTGATTATGATATATGAAGAAAGTTGAGTACTAACCAATTAGTGAATTTGTCATTACAGCATCTCGAACACTTGAAAATGCTTGTGAAAGTTCCATTATCTCATTGCCTGAGATCAATTCTGTCATAATTTCAAATCGATTTGGAATAGATCGCCAATTAGGATCAGGGTTAATAATAGATCCATTCGGACACAACTGTGGATCCAATTGTCCATAGATGACACTCGTCAATATCAAACTAAGAATTATTAGAAATATTCGCAATTGTTGCATACTGCTTGTATCTTTTGTGTCTTATTATTTTAAAACAAGGAACGTTGAATAATATTTTCACAAAAAGAGAATCACTCTTCTAAGATGAATTCTATGATAAGAAAAAAAAAAAAAGGTTATTATTTGCTTGCATTATCTTTGATAAGAGCAACGCTAACTGATAGTCAAGAGTCATCCATAAAGAACGTCAAGTATTAAAAAAAACCTTTTTACAAAATAAACCAGAAGTCACTTGCTCAATCATTTTTTGTATATCGTTATTATTTTATCAAATGTTTCTATGCAATAGTAGGTGAATATACCAAGTGTTTATTTATTTGAACATACTTTAAACCTATTCTTCGAATTTCTCATTTTGAATTAAAATATAAAAATTAAGCCCTTTTTTTATATGTAAAAAAATGATGTAAAGATTACGTTTTGCTTGCTTCATTTTCTCGAATGTTATTCACATATTCAACATCTGCACTATTTCAACTTAAAATTATTGGTGTACTACTCGAAAGTTGCAATACACTCACCAAAACTTATTGTGACGTTTGAAAAATTCGTACGGTCCAAAGTTTTTGGATTCGGACCAGATCTATACTCATAATATTCTTTAAAAGAAATATTTTTATCCGTCTTAAGAGTCATTTTGAAGATATGAGATACTATTTTTTTGGTTATTCACAATTAGCAACTAACACGTTTCTCAGAACATTTTGGTGCTGATTGCATAAGCACAAGAACATAATTTAATACTACTTTTACTCTAGTGATGTATTATATCAAGCAAACGATTTGTTTGCTTATTTATCAACAGAATGATCTGAGCATACTCCAAAATCTTTATTAGCTGATTTCATAATACAAAAAAAAAATATACTAAAAAAAGTAATTTTCTAGCAACATAGGGTATCAGTACATTACTCGAAGGCAGTTTGCTATGGTCTGATGAATAAGTTTGATGAGTAGTGATTTCAAAGAGATGGATCAATTTCATGAGCTTTACAGTCGTAAGACTTGATATTATTTAGATTTCTTTTTATGAAAATACATCAAAACAAATATCTTTAAAATACCTATTAAAGATCTGAACAATAATATTTCTTTTTACATTTAAAAAGCAGCTAAAATCTTGCATTTCGGTTGCAAGCAATAGCTTTGAAAGATATTTTTGAAGTTTGCTCGTATCACCAAAAAAAACACGATGTATAAACCTACTATTATTAAAGATATACTAAAAACAAAACTTTTGGAGCTTCATGTAGAAAGAAAAAGCTTGTTCAAACATATTACTTCTTTTTTTTATCATTAAATAACAGTTCGTTCAATATCACGTTGTCCGGAAAGTTCGTAGAACTATCCTTTAAACTACATCCACGAGACCTTTCACCCATACCATCGTGTAGAGCGCAAAATTTTACTAAGATTCACTCTCATTTGCACAGATTGTGTCAATTATTTTGCAAGAAAAAAACACGCATTCAACACCCTATTTAGATGTGTTTCAGATAAGTCAAAACTGAGTAGTTGGAAAGATTTTTATCTGAAACCGACTGAATAGTGTCAAAATCGCTGAGTAAATAACATCTCTTTGTGCGCTCTGAAGTAGGCATTTTTGTACGTAAACGATACCGACTGTGCACTGTTATCTATTTAATAAAAATAATTTTGTGGGTGTGAGTATGGGTGTAAAGATGGTTGTTGATTTTTTATGGGCGTACTCACATCAATGTTCATGAGATCGTTTTTCAATAATTACATAAAAAGAGAAGGAACTGTTGCCTCGTTCAGTTTTGTCGATATTTTATGTCATGCTATCGATAAGGATTAAATAGCTGCATGATATTGATATTATTGCTATCGTATTGTGATCCCTTTTAGCGCTCCACTATATCTATTGTAACGTGGCATTACGACAATACGTAAATCAATATTACACGCTATTATGTGATATTTTCTCGTATGTAGACACTTGAATACATCAGCATCAATAGCAAATTCAGCCCTATTTAAAGATTTGCTTTTAAATAAGTTCAATAAGTATTTATTTTTATTTGATTCTTCAAAAAGCCACAATAACCGACGCCTACACCCGCACCCACCCACACCCTGTTTACGAATTCGCTCTAGTAATGAGAAGAAATAAGCCAAAATATTTTTCTTATCTTCAGAAGTCAGAATTGCTAACAAAAATGTGTATGGCTTTCATGCACTAACGAGAGAACATTCCCAAGTGTCAAATCGCTTTTGAGTCAAGAGTATAAGCATAAGGTAGATCCCAGTGAAATATGAAAAACTCCAAAAAGGATAAGTGCCCTTAGGCCTTCTGTCCAGAGTTATGGGCATTTTACTGAAATTTTAGCCTCTTGCATAGTAAATACCAATAAATCGAATGGCGGTATTTCGACCTAAGATTTTGCTCACAGATAGATCTAGTTGTGAGTAGGATATCCTGAAAATTTCAGCTCAAAAGAATATTTCCTTCTCGAGATATTAAAGTTCCAAAAATCACTCATATACCACGAAAGATGCTAGAATTTTCTGTTTTTTTTGGGGACTTTAATATCTGGAGAAGGAAACATTGTTTTGAGCTGAAATTTTCATGGTATCCTACTCACAACTAGACCTATCTATGGCCAAAATCTTAGGTCGAAATACCAGCATTCGATTTATTGGTATTTACTATACCAGAAGCTAAAATTTCAGTAAAATGCCTATAACTCTGGACAGAAGGCCTAAGGGCACTTATCCTTTTGGGATTTTTCATATCTCACTGGAGTCTACCTTATACTCATACTCTTGACTCAAAAGCGATTTGACACTTGGGAATGTTTCCTCGTAAGTGGATGATTGTTTCAAATTACCAAGCTCGAGCCGAATAGTCCCAAGACTATGGTACATATTGCAGCATTGGATATCGAACTCTGATATGCACATATGAGCAAATGTAAGCCTCTATTACAAAAGTCTAAAGCTTTGTCATATTCACCCTTCATGGAGTGACACCGTCCAATGAAGTCATAGCACGAAGCGGTGCGAGTATGAGTGTGAGTGAAGTAAAGAGTCATATAAACACTCACCCACAACGAAAGTGAAATTAACACAATCGGTTTTGGAACATAGATAGAAATTAATAAAAATTCTTAAAAAATATTGAACCTAGTAAAAAAAAAAGGCAAACTTTTAATTTAAATTAAAAAATGTATGAAAATTTTATTAAATCTATTGCTCATATTGAGAAATATGTATTCGATTTGTTTTGAACAATTTTGCAGGAAACAAAGCGATTGAAAAAAGTGAGAAATCATCCCTAACATGTTTCGGACCCTGCCATGATAGCATTTGTATTCCATTCTTTTCTACTGAGGATATGTAGAGCATAGATTAAAATATAGCATTACATCGTGTTTTTATGGACTATTCAATAACACTTTGTAGTGAAATAGAATGAAGTCAAATACTTTTTTTTTGCAAATAACTTCACGTTGAGGCTGAGAAATATTGGTAGCAACAAGAAAAGAAAGTCATCGTTTTTGTATTGCATCAATATATTTTCTACTAGAATTACATTTTTTTACCAGAGTCTAGATCGATCTTCTATCTACAATCACTCAATATAAAGAAACTAAATCATGAACAGTAGAATTCATGACTGTATAAAACTCTATCTCTATCTTGCTTTGTCGAATAAAATTACATTTTATATGAGAATGCAGATCAATGCTTACTTAATTGTAAAATTCAAAGTCTTTTCTATGTCTTATTAATTATGGCTACGATCGTTTGACCTTCACATTTCCATTTCTTGAATTCGATTATCTTTAGTATGAAATAGCTTTTCATACGTTTTCACATTTTCTCGAAGCTCATCGAGTTCTTCGTCCTTGAGTCGCAATACTTTCCTACAGGGAGATAGAGAATCGACATTACGATTAGCACCTGTAGTGCCAGGTGGAATGGCACCTAGTCTTGTTGTCGTTTGAACTTGTGACAAATGTTGATGTTCAACATTGTATTAACATTCTGTTTCCCATTGTGGGTAAGATGTTTGCTGAATACGAATGGAATATTTTTGAAGTGTTTTTCGTAACTGAAGAAAAAAACAGTTCGGTAGCACAATGAACTTCATTAGTAGTATCAACCATGATCATGTTCGGTATATGCAAGCCTAAGTTCGGCAATATCTTGGTGCTCAAATGATGCCGATTAGTCGTACGTTATTCCATATTTCGAGGCACACATGGATTATATTCAAATCGATCAATTACGGAAAGAAATAAAAGACAAGTAACGTTCATCGACAGTCGATTCACCTGGCCCTAGACTGACGTCATAAGGATACATATGTGTTAGAAAGTCATAAGATTAAGATTAAAAAGTTAATACTAAAATTCTTCTGAGTTCAAAAAAGCGCTAATAAATTTAGCGCTATTTATATTCAATAAAAATCACATTTAAAATAATAACATTTTCATACAACATAAAATTCCGTATTTGTTCTGATTCACTTGTCACAATTTTATTATACATCATATGCTGATTTGTAATATGGGTACTATATGGTCTTTTGTACCATATTTACCAAAATGGTCACTAGTGTCGTAGTTACGTGGTCGCTGTCTAAAAAAAAAAATTGCAATTTGTGCCAAAAACTGCTCATTTGTGCCAAAAAAATGGTCGTTTGTGCCAAAAAAATGGTCGTTTGTGCCAAAAAAATGGTCGTTTGTACCAAAAAAATGGCATTTGTGCCAAAGAAATGGTCACTTATGCCATAGTTACGTGGTCATTTGTACCAAAAAAATGATCATTTGTACCAAAGAAATGGTCGTTTGTGCCAAAAAAATGGTCATTTTTGTGCCATGTTACCGACAACAACGATATACGCGCGGACAGATCAATTCCCGTTTCTAGACCCTATCCTTTCAGTCTACGGAATAGTTACTTAGTTAATTTTAGTAAAAAAAATGGCCGTTTGTGCCAAAAAAATGGTCACTTGTGCCAAAAACATGGGCGTCTGTGCCAAAAAATGGCCGTTTTTGTGCCAAAGAAATGACTGTTTGCGCCAAAAAATGGCCGTTTGTGCCAAAAAATGGTCACTTGTGCCAAAAAATGGGCGTCTGTGCCAAAAAAATGGTCACTTATGCCAAAAAAATGGTCGTTTGTCCGAAAAAAATGACCGTTTGTGCCATAGTTATCATGGTCATTTTGACCGCGTTACCGACAGACAGATAGACAGGCACAGGTGAATTTCGGTTTCTAGACCCTATCCTTTCAGTCTAGGGAATAATATAAACAGTTAGAATACGATTCGCAAAGTCTTTCTCTAAATCCCACATCGATGGGAAGAGAGAAACCGAAACAAGTCACGACAATATATCATCGTGGATTTTTCTATGGAGATAAATGTAATAGTTGTATTCGTTTAACGCATTGCTTCTAAAATCTAACATTTTACGGAGTATGTTTTGTTCGGAATAAGAGAAAAAGAGAGAGAGAAAGACTGGGATTACATGTGAGAGAGACGAACAACAATAACAACGACAACCGAAGACAAAAATGACCAATACTAGTGTGACCATTGGTTCGACTTTTATCAATGAATTTGAGCAAAACAAGTATAACTTTTCACTGGTCATCTTTCCAAAAAAAATGATCATCATTATGTCCAATTTTCTTTTTTTAACACTGTTTTTCTCCTAGAAAGACAAATTCATTGGACTTGAAAAGAGAAATGCTTCGTTTCTTCTAATAATTAGTCAAACAATAACCGATGTGGATGTGAATTAAATGGAAAAAGCAAATTAACAATGTGAATAAAGCACAAAGAAGAGCCAAAAAAAAACAAATATGAAAGGATATGAAACAAATGGATAAATAAATAAATAGATTTTTCTTGTTTCGTGATTTATAGATTTATTTAAATCTTGTTTTGAATGTTTTTTTTTACGAAGCATAAACGAAAGAAACTGATCTAGAATGAGTTTTAGAAAAAGACAAAAAAGAACGAAGACCTTTTTGTAAATGTTTTAAATATGAAAAAATACGTTTGATTGTCCTTGAAGCATTTAAACAAAAGATTATAATTATTAAATATGAGAAGATCAGCTTGTTTTTTGAATTTACTGTAAGATATAATGTTATTGAATTGATATGAGACGAACTTGTATTTTTGAGATTTTGTTTTGGAAAAAGAGAAAATGAATTTATTTTGTAATAGTTTTAGAAAAAAAAAATAAATAAGAAGAAAAAATATTAGACAGAGAGTAATCTTGTTTTTTGCTTTCATCAGAGTGCGAGTGTGAATGTGATTGAAGAGAAGAAGTACATCCATCCACATCCTTAGGAAAAAAAATTATACAGTGCGGCAGAATTAGAAACAAAAAAGTGTTTGATAACAATTTTTATTTTTGTCGATAAAAAAAAGAAAAAACAACGAAGATAGACAAATTTGTATTTTACAGAAAAAAGCACGAATCGATGCATCATGATTAGAAGAATCGATAAGACTAAAGATCATTTTCACAAAGAAATTTAACTGTTTCTGAAATCTACTGCTATTTCACTTGTAAATGGCAGAATTAGAACAAAAAAAATACATTGGTTAGTAAAACAAGAATCAGAGCAGAATTGAACAAAAAGTGACCTTCGTGCTATTATACAATACTAGCTGAATATTTTTCAATCAATCATATATTAATTGATAGAGCAATGTTTGTTCTACTTCGAAAACTACGGTAAACGAAACAAAAATTCTGGGACATAATAAAATGATTTTTCAATATTTAATAAATTATATGAGAAAGTATTCGAATATTAGATTTCGTTCCGAATTCTGTCTTTGCATTTTTTGTAGAGTTCAGTGAGTACAACATGCGATATAAATGGCTCGTCTCCATATTGGACTTTTAAAGAACTCCGAGGTACCATAAAGAGATGTCCAATATATAACAAGGGATAAATTGTTAATGATATTTTTCATACATTATCTCGACATACGGAGCTAAAATTTTTATTACATATATATGTCTAACCAAAATCTTTTAATCCTGAAAGTTTCAGCCCTGTATCTGTGACTAATGATGAAATACATAGGTACGTCTGAAACATCAATTTTCTCACGCTATAAATAATGCAAAAATCGAATGCGAAAATTGACGTTTCAGTCCGGGCTTGCCGATTAGGGGGTATGGGGGGATTTCTCTCACCTAAAATGGCAGGGCTGTCTGCCAAAATTTTTAGCACTTTCTGCGAAAAATTGTGGATATTTTCTGCGAAATTTTTGTAACTTCTAAAGGAATAAAAGTGAGAGGTGATGTCGATTCCTTTCCCCTAGTCCAAAGTTTTCATACCACGAAAATGAGAGCACTTTCTGCCAAAATTTTATCCCCCGCCCCCCCCCCCCACTCCTGAAAACAATCGACAACCCTGTTTCAGTCGTACCTATGTATTTCATCATTAGTCACAGATACAGGGCTGAAGCTTTCAGGATTAAAAGATCTTGGTTAGACATATATATGTAATAAAAATTTTAGTTCCCTATGTCGAGATAATGTATGAAAAATATCATTAACAATTTATCCCTTGTTATATATTGGACATCTCTTTATGGTACCTCGGAGTTCTTTAAAAGTCCAATATGGAGACGAGCCATTTATATCGCATGTTGTACTCACTGAACTCTACAAAAAATGCAAAGACAGAATTCGAAACGAAATCTAATATTCGAATATTTTCTCATATAATTTATAAAATATTGAAAAATCATTTTATTGTGTCCCAGAATTTTTTTCGTTTACTGTAAAATTCATCTCTGTGTACTACTGAAAACTCGGATTATCAATGATTTTCTGAAAAAGTTTTTTTTCCGACAGAATTAGGTAGACTGACTCGATATTCAATTATTCTAAGTATGAAATAATCAGGAATAAATGTATTTTATTTAATCTTTTTTATGAATATGAATACAACACTGAATAAAGGATAAAATATTTTTTTTGTTACTGATTAAATAAGAAACAACATTTAAAGCAAATAAAATACATTGATATGCTATTGTTCATGAGTTTATTGAGGTGCAACAATAGAATTTTGTTGTGGTCGTAGTAACCAAAATAATCTTTTCCATTGTATTTTCTTTCGTAGCTCAGATATAAAACCAAGACATACCAAAGGATATAGAAATATTGCAAAGTAACATAAAAAATCAAAATCCAATTGAGCTGCAATACCTACGTCTGCTGGTAGACCACAAAGATGAGCCAACATTAAAAGATTCAATGGAATATTAGGTATAAGATATAGAATAGAATTAAAAATTAATTGAATTACCATTTTACGTTGTTGACGCCATTGGTTACGTATATTAACAATACGTCGTTTATGATAATGAACGCGAATGAGAATAATGACACTAAATATACATATGATAAATGTTGATAAAATACTATTCACAACAGAATCCCATATGCCAAGAATAAGATCATCATCATAACATGGATTATCATTACAAACAGGTACTGTATAATCAAATGTATCCATACATGCTGGAAAGATTATCGCGATTATATAAAAAATGAATATATAAAGAAGTAAAATGATTAGAGGTAAATAATGGAAAAGAAAACAATTCTTTCCATGGAAAAACATTTGATCATGAAATATAAATAAGTAACGATGAATAGAACACCATGCCATAATTATTGTAAATACATTATATAGACCTAAGTCTATAAACCATAATAAGATGAGGGTTGGACAACTTTTCGATCGGTGACAAAAATGAAAATTTTAAGCGGAATTGAATCGTTCAGGTCAAAAATGCCCTGTCTAAAAAGATTAACGTAGACCAACGAAACAACACACATATGAAAAATGAAAATCCGCAGGAGAAATGAAACTTTTCATGGCAAGGATGACTTAGAAAAATATTTGAATCATTTTTCTATGAGGAAAAATACTTCAGTTAAAGTTTACTTTTATATATATATTCTCAGCGGAAAAATGAAAATCCATAGGAGAAATGTGACATTTCACAGGAAAAATGACTAAGAAAAATGTTTCAATTATTTTTCTATGAGGAAAACTACTTCAATTAAAGTTAAATAAACCTTAACTGAAGTATTTTTCCTCATAGAAAAATGATTCAAACATTATTCTTAGTCATTTTTCCTATGAAAAGTTTCATTTCTCCTATGGATTTTCATTTTTTCCGCTGAGAATGTATATACACAAGTAAACTATAACTGCAGTATTTTTCACATAGAAAAATGACTCAAAGATTTTTCTCAATCATTTTTCCTATGAATAGTTTCATTTCTCTAATGGATTTCCATTTATCCGCTGAGAATGTATATATATAAGTAAACTTTAACTGAAGTATTTTTCCTCATAGAAAAATG